CGACGCAAGGGAGGGTAATGTGTTTATCATTATCAGTCTATGTATGTATGTTTGTTTCTATGTGGCGTTCTAAAGACCAAATGCGTAGGCCGATTTTGATGATTCTTACGTCAATCGATTCGTTTCAACCTTGCGACTGTCACTGAAGACATGACAGTCATCAAAATTCACCACAACGACAACCAAACGCCATATTGTCTAAATGAAAAAACAAAAAATCGATGGACTATGTCAAGTGGGGTGTTTTACATTTTTCATTTTAAACGATAGTTCAGGATATATAACGATTTAAAGTTGTTTAACAAACGATATTATCTCTCTCAATGAAATGACTAGATTGCGAAATTAACTATCTTATAACGAAGTCAACGAATCGTAACTAAAAAGTATAAAATAAAAATTAATAATTTAATGAAAAACAACAAATTGAAATAGTTTTATAATCGATACACACATAAAACAAATCATAAATTCGAATGCAGAACAGAACGACTCACAGTCGGGGCCCATTCAAATTTTACCAAACAAATCTTCCCAAGAGGCCCCTTTGAGTCATTCTGTTTGCCTTAGAATTTATGTTTTGTTTTATGTGTGTATCGATTATAAAACTATTTCAATTGTGTAGTTATTAAGTATTAATTAACGGAATTCTAAACTACTGGGGTTGTATCTTTCTTTTTAGTTTTTATTTAAGTTAATTTGTTCATTTATTTTTTTAAATAAGTTTTTTACGCAACTGATTTATTGTACTATCTAAGTGGCCGTCAGAATATTAGTGCTTTTGTGATGTTGGCAACTGGCAAGGAAGGTATTACTGAGATAGCCACCTGTTTGGCCCGATTAATACTTGAAAAGTAAAGGTCAATAAAAAAACTCTTTCTCTTCTTTAAGATGTGCCTTAGACTAATTTCTTAAAAACGAAGTATTTGTATCAATAATATCAAAATTTTTTTTTATTTCGGTAACTCGATTCAGTCTTCATTAAGCGTTTATTCCACGAAAAATTAAACTTCTAACTTTGGTAAGCAATAAAAACTTTTTTCCAGCAATAAATCACCTTTGGAAAGTTGTGTAGGCATACAATTCGCAGAACAAAAAGAAAAGGTCTTAAAAAGAATTTTAATAATAAGGATCATGGCACTAATATAAAACAAAGAAAATGAAAACTGAAGTTTTTACAGTCTGTTTATTCTACAGATTATTAGATTGCTTATAAACTCATATTTCGAAGTAAAAGTTTCGAAGATCTTTAATATTTTTTGTCAAATTTGGTCTATAATGGTCAGTTATTGAATTTCCTTCTCGTTATAATTGTAATGGTATATTATAGAGCGATTGAATACAGCCATAGCCCAAATTGATTATCAACTCAGAATATATAATTCACTAGCTTCTCCCACAAACTCGGTCGCGAAAATTATAGCTTATCCGCGTATGATGTAGCTCCCCGCAGGTTAAATAATTTTCACGATTGCATTTGTACTTATTTCTAAATAATAATCTCGACAAAAAACAATGAAACTCTTTACATGACATCAAAACTATAGGTTTTTAAATTGAAGAAAGATCTCTACTAATACAGCCTTACATTCAGATTCACTATTTTATATTAGTAAAATTCCAGTTCCAGGAGTAAACCCATAAATATTTACAAGTTCATATATTTTTTGTCATGGACCCAGACAAAGCTTCCTTTTTTTTAAATAGAACACGGAGCGCTCAGAAACAAAGTTTTATTTTAAATGAAAGAGACCCCAATCGCGACAGCAGCATCTGACGTCACAGCCGCTTATAGCCCGCGCAGCACATCGGTAACTTTGAAACGGCCCGTTGGTCCGGAAAGGGGCCTATTGAGCGAGCGAAAAACTCGTCTGCCACACAGGATTGACATAAAACTCTGAACGTATGTTGGTATTAAAGTTTTTGATCTGTATATCTGAGCGAGTAGAGTAGTGGCTCGATAGCGTAGTGAATAAGCACCGCGGCCCGCGATCGATGTTATTAAGCAACTTTCGCAAGGCTCTGCCACGGGACGGATGAACAAAAAATTATTATATCGAGCTTCTTCGTGTTTCGAAAGCCACGTTAAGCCGTTGGTCCCTACTGCATTTGCAGTCGTCAATGCTCTCCAATCCGCATTGAGCCATCGTGGAAGGTCCTTCGTTCCCATCATACTTGACCAAAGACCTGCAGTAGGTACGTAAAGAGCTGATAATTATTTGAGCGATGCCATTACTTTTGTATATTTTTTTATTTGGTAGCCCATCACTATAAGAAACGGTTTTGCGATTATCATATAAAAATCAAAGTATATTTTTGATGTATTTTCCAATTTTTTTAAAGTATATTTTGCTTCATATTATATTTCTGTACTGGTCAAATTAGGCCTTACCATTTATTCAGAATTTTTAAGTCCCAAGGATCTCCACATAAAATATTAATAGAATTTACAAAAACCTTTGTCATGACTCATGTAATGACAATATCAACGTAAATAAATAATTTGAAATATTAATACTATTTATAAATAAAATTAATATTAATAAAAAAAATTGCCACCTAACGATTGGAAAAACTTAAGATCCATTTACGACTTCTAGTGGCTGTTTATTCTATTTATATTTTCAATCAGACATTAAGCACCTGAATTCCGACTAACGAGCAAGCGCAATACTGTCATTAGACGAATAATATCCAACGAAACTTTTGAATGTGTCCACAGAGGTTATTTATGAATCTTTCCAATTCAAACCTTTTGTGTATTTAGTGAAAAAAAAGTTTTCAATAGATATTTTTACTACACAAGAAAAAATATTATAATATTTCTCAAAGAAAAATAGTTCCAATCTTTTATAACTAAAATATTTTACAAGCATCGTTCATTATAATTACAAACGAAACTGCCGAGGTGATATTACGAATTCCCAGTTCGCTGAAATGTCTGTCGAATTTATTTCACCGTCGAACTTTCCGAATAACTGGAGGCAAAGTTTCCGAGTAGGTATCGATTTAAAAACACGTTTCGCAGATTATCGAGTTTCGGGTTTGTAATAAGAAATAATCTGAAACTTAGTCATGCGTTAAATCAGATCGTTTTCCTTCAAAGAAAATGCTTTTACTATCAATACTTTTTTCTTTTTATTTTATTATACCGAGTTAAGTTTTATTGACCGAATTTATACCCGTTGAAAATTAGCAATGAAACTCGAAAAATTGTCATTTTTAGAATAGAGCAAACGGATACCGATCTAGGTAAAAACAATGTTGGCAATTTGACAGAATAAGTGCTATTGTTGTGGTTATTCAATTGTCTATTTGTTGTCTTGATTATACCAATTCTATGTATTGGTAGCCAATGCTTTAAATTAAAAAAAAGTCTTGTTACTGTTGAAGCCAATATTTTCTAAACCGTAAGATGGCGTTGTTCTTACTTAAACCGCGATAGTCTTTGTTTGCCTAAGATACCGTAATAATAATTTGTTTTCTCTTAATACCTACCCATATTTCTTGATAGCCAATTAAATTTGCTAAGTAAAGGCGAAGTTCTTTTTTTATGAAACGACCATCTTCTAATTGGACATTGTAAACAAGGGTTGTCCAGGTCAATTGAGGTTGTGGCTTGTTCAATTATTAAAAAAATAAAAAAGTGAAACCTATGGAATTTTTCTCTGATCACATATTGAATTGGTTACCGTAAGTAATTTATTTTTCCCAATCAAATTGAAGACTGTAAAAATTGGTTTCTATTTAATTTATTAATTAAAAGTACTTCATGTATAAGTGCTTTGCCTTCATCGCCTTCATCCTTCGATAAAAATCTATTAGGTAGGTTGATAGGCCAGGTAATTTAGTTACAAGGTTATTTACATGACTGAAGTCTCCAGTGTCTGTCCAATATTGCATACAACCGTCCCGACTTCATGCATCCTTAATATTCTTCAGGGACACAGAAAACAGTAAACGGACTGAACTGGATTTCCAATATAGGATGTCATAGTAGTATGGACAATATTCTATTACTTTCTATTGCTGAGATTATACTAATATTATATTATTTTTACACAGTATACCTGTACTATCATCAGGAACACTAAATTATTTGTATAATAAAATATTGTTGATTATTTGATAGTGAAAAATATGACACTAAAACTTTTTCAAAAATGTGTTTTGTAAAGTTACTGAACATTGGTAATAATTACTTTCACAAACTAAACTTATAATTTTATTACGGGTGTAGATAGTAAATTGTTTATTTTTTTCAGCGATTGTATAATATACTATTACACTTTTATGTTTATAATGTTGTTTAAATTATGAAAAATCAAATATTTTATACTCGTAGTCGTGTTTACGTGAACGTAAATAACGCGTGACCCCTCTCATATTCAGAAATACGAGAATTGAATCTTATGCATTTGTTAGAATTATTAACATTTGATTTTATCAAATGTTATAATAATTATTATTTGATTAATTAATTTATTCCATAATTTGTACGTAATATGATACTTTTTCAATATTAAAGTATTTCCTGTTACGAATAAAAAGTGCTGCTTTGTAATTGGTCGACGACATCCCCGCCAGGCGTATGGCCGGGTGGGACGGCGTGACAGGTATTTAAAGGGCCTCGCACCGACTCAGAGATTCATTCTGTGCTCGGCGCTCGGACTGTACGTACTGCCACAACCTAGTGCTATAACTCCGTCAAAGTTATACAGGCTGATCATACCCGAGGGTACCGTGTATAAGATAAGTATATAGTGGTACTAATTGCTCCATTTTATGGATATGAATATATATAATTTAAAAACTATAATTCAATTGTTTTACTAGTGTTTCAAGGTATAGTGTAGAATATAAGATAAATATAAAAAGTTGATTAAGTAAATATACATAAATTAAAAGTTGCTATGTATTTTTTATTTATCTATATACCCCAATTCTGACATCAGAAGTGGGACCGTATTCTGTCCTAATTTTTTTTTATTTCTCTTTTTATAAGGGTCAAGGATTTGTTGCGACATGGATCCTGCCATGCTCGAGGGGCTGCTAACAGCTATACGCGATGCAGTATCCTCCAAGTCTAGGCAGGATGATATCGCTCTACCGCTGTATGATCCCGAGAAGAGTGACAACGGTGTCGAATTTTGGTGCCGTAATATAGAAAAGCTAGGCCAGGAGTTCCAGTGGAGCACCATCCAGCAAGCAGCTAAAGCCGGAAAGGCCCTTCGGGGATCTGCTTTGTCCTGGTTTGAAACCTGGGAGCCTGAATCGGGACGTACATGGGAAAACTTGAAGAAAGATCTTGTAGACCTTTATCCCGAAAGAAAAAATTATCAGATAAATTAACCAAGGCTGCGCTGTATTCATCTGACTCTGCAGATAGTTATTGTGAATACGCTAGGGAAAAGCTTAGACTGTTGCGATGTACTAAGATTTCTTTCACGGAACCACAACTTATAGAGCTTATTAGTGGAGGTGTTCGAGATGCTAACGTTCGAATTACTTGTCTCAATAGCTCTGTAACAACCACGTCTGAACTTATTACACTATTTTCCTCTTATGTCAAACAAACTAGGAAAAGATCATCCGATTTCCATAATAATTTTGGCAGACCTTCGTTGTCTGGTGAAGCTAGTATGCCAGGACCGAGTAATCAAAAGCGCTTTAAAATTGATTCAAATCAGCAAACTGTTAGTAGAGATAAAAAACGGTGTTATAATTGTGGGGAGGTGGGACATGTCAAGGCTCAATGTTCGGTAAACGATTCTTCTGATAAAACTGTTAAAATTGACAACGTAAACAAGTCTGAACATGTTTGTACTTTTTGTAAGAAAACTGGTCACCTTGCTGAAAAATGCTTCTTTAAACCGCGTGTTCACATTTCAACAAGTGATTCTAATAAAATGTGACTAAAACCTACTGAAGTATTTATTCACGATCATAAAGTAAATTGTATATTAGATAGTGGTGCAAATTGCAGCCTCATAAGGGAATCCGTAGCAAGGCGGCTTGAATGTCACATTTCTCCATGTTCTCTATATATTGATGGAATAGGTAAGGGGAGACTACACGTATTTTCAAAAATAATAGTCCCTTTAAGGTTTGATGACGTATGTCTTGAACTAGAATTGTATGTAGTTAGAGACTCGGATTTCAAATACGATTGTTTAATTGGGACTAACATAATAAAACACCCTGATATAGCAATTGTATCCGATGTAAACGGTAGTAAGATAATCCGATTAAAACCCTCCATAGTTAGTGAGCCTGTTGTTAATTTGGCTGTTGAAAAAGAACACGAATGGTCTGATTTAATTGAGTCGGTAAAACATTTAGAGTCAGATTTGCAAAATCAAATTAGATCAATATTTGTAAAATACCCTATGATTTTGCCACGACCGGATAGGCTCCGTACAGTCCAAACTGGAGAGTTAAGAATCAGGTTGAAAGAAGATAAAATTAGTAACTATAGACCTTATCGCTTAGCCCCTATTGAAAGAGAAAAAGTAAAGGTAATCATTAAGGACTTAATAGAAAGTGGTATTGTTCGTGAGAGTGATTCTGACTTTGCCAGTCCGGTTCTTTTGGTTAAAAAACAAGATGGTAGCGACCGATTATGTGTTGACTTTAGAGCGTTGAACAAAATCGTCGAAAAAGAACGATACCCTCTTCCACTTATACAAGACCAACTGGATCAGTTAGGAAATTCTAAATATTTCATATCTATCGATATGAAGAATACCTTTTACCAGATACCTATTTCACAGGAATCCTCCAAGTATACTGCTTTTATTACCCCTGACGGTCATTACTAATTCCTGAGAATGCCTTTTGGGATTTGTAATGGTCCATCCGTTTTCCAAAGGGCAATAAGTAAGGCAGTTCAACATCTAAAATTTTTGTTAGTTTATATAGATGACCTATTGATCCCCTTTTCTTCCATTCCCGAAGGACTATCATATCTGGAACAAACGCTCGAAGCTCTCAGTGCCGCCGGGTTTACAATAAATATAAAAAAATGCAGGTTTTTTGAGACAAGTATCGAATATTTGGGTAATATTATTTCCGAGCATGGCATTAGACCAAGTGACAAAAAAAATTCCGCACTAATTAACTCACCAATACCTTGCACAGTCAAGCAGGTTAGACAGTTTATGGGACTGGCCAGCTATTTTAGAAAATTTATTCCAGATTTCGCTACTTGTACTGCCGCCATTACTAAATTAACTAAGTTTGATCAAAATGGGAATGGGATCCAGAACAAGAAAAGGCTCGTAACTATATAATAAAACATCTCGTTTCAAAACCTTTGTTAGCAGTATTTGACCCAAAACTACCAACGGAGCTTCATACTGACGCCAGTGCTCTTGGCTATGGTGCAATATTGCTTCAAAAAAACAATAATATCACTAGAGTGGTAGGATATTTTAGTAAGAGAACTTCGCCACCGGAGACTAGATATCATTCCTACGAATTAGAGACCCTTTCTATATACAATGCTTTAAAACATTTTCGTGTCTATTTACTTGGAGTTGATTTCAAAATATTAACTGACTGTAATGCCATAAAATCTACCTTCCATAAAAAGGGTTTATCACCACGAGTTGCTCGCTGGTGGACTTATATGCAAGATTTTTCATTCGAAATCGTGTATAGAAAAGGCAAGTTTATAAGTCACGTTGACTACCTTAGTCGAAACCCCGAAATGATACCTCAATTAGTACCAACAAAGGTTTTGCCTCCTGAACTAGCAGGGGAGGTAAATTTAATAGACCCACCGCAATCATGGTTGCATATAGCCCAAGAAAGAGATCCTGAAACCCAATCCCTACTAGAAAAGGTGCGTTCTGGGGAGCTCGACGTTAATCAATATGTTATACGAAACAACTTATTATATTACAAAGTTGACTTCAACGCTATGCCCAAATTGTATATACCAAAAGGCAGTAGGCTGAGTATTCTTCGTCTTTTCCATGACGAAAATTGTCACATAGGTTTTGATAAGCTTTTTAAAAAGATATTTGAATATTTCTGGTTTCCCAGTATGAGTCGATTTATAAAAAAGTATCTGTCACATTGTCTAGTTTGTATAAAACAAAAATCACACCACGGGCCAAAGCAAGGATTACTACATCCGATAGAAAAAACTCCTATTCCATTCCATACAGTACATTTGGACTGTACAGGTCCGTTTAGTCAATCTTCCGATGGGTATAAGCACATCCTCTTAATCATCGATGATTTTACAAAGTTTTGCATATTAAAACCTTTAAAAACTTTAACAGGGAATGAGTTAGTTAATAGCATTCGCGATTCTATGACATTGTTCGGTATACCCTCCCTAGCAATTACCGATCGTGGAACTAATTTTTCCTCACAACAGTTGCAAAATTTGTTTCGTGAATGGCATACTAGACATCACATGATAGCTACTGGCACACCTAGAGGAAATGGGCAAGTCGAACGTTACGTCAATACTGTGATTAATTTGTTAAGTACTACATGTTCTGACACGTCAGATTGGCCGAGCAATCTTTGGAAGGTTCGACTAACGTTGAATACAACTGTCCAGAAATCTACTGGGTTTGAACCTCTCCGTTTATTGACCGGTCGAACTGCAAACTTACCTTGTATACAGGCTCGTTTGAACGAAGTTGTAGAGCAAGATACCATAGATGTGAGTAATGATAGACAAGTTGCACAGCAGAATCTACAAAATTCTGCTGAGCAATTCAAGAAACGATTTGATTACACAAGGCGAAATAATTTAAATTTTAGCGTAGGAGACACAGTTTATGTAAATCAGGACCATAGAAGATATGACAAATTGAAAGTGAAATTTAAGGGGCCTTATTTAATAATGGGTACTTTAGAAAATGATCGTTTTTCCTTAAGAGGTCTTGGAAATATGCGAAATGTAATTATTGCGAAGGAAAAATTAAGAAAATGGCCAGGAGAATGGGTTGATCAAAACGTTTCTGTTGAAAATTACCTTGTAAGTGATGATTGTGAAAATTATTAATTTTTGTAAAGGCTTCGTATCAATAAAGCATGGCAATTAATATCACCTTGGAAAAAAAAATGAAGATTGGCTGGAAAACCATTATGCTTGGTGTCAGTTTGGTCTTTACCACCAGCCGGTAATGGAACTGGACATGTCTAGGCATAGGGTTGATGATGATAATAAAATCCACAGCTTGGTCTTCATTTTAAATGATGGAGCTGATGGTATATAGCTGGAAAGATACATATAATGCTTGGTGTCAGTTTGGTCTTCACTGCCAGCTAGTGATGGAACTGGACATGTCGAGGCAAATATTAGATGATAGGATAATGAAAATGAATAGTAAAAAAAAAATATTTAATTATGATTGTCAAAATAAATATTATATATTTAGATTTATGATGATTTATAATACGATGCCTTATAAGCTCTGGCTTTATATAGATTGTATGTTGTATATGTACCTATAATAACTGTAATATATTATAGTACTTCGAGGACGAAGTACTGTCAGTATGGCCGTGTTAGAATTATTAACATTTGATTTTATCAAATGTTATAATAATTATTATTTGATTAATTAATTTATTCCATAATTTGTACGTAATATGATACTTTTTCAATATTAAAGTATTTCCTGTTACGAATAAAAAGTGCTGCTTTGTAATTGGTCGACGACATCCCCGCCAGGCGTATGGCCGGGTGGGACGGCGTGACAGGTATTTAAAGGGCCTCGCACCGACTCAGAGATTCATTCTGTGCTCGGCGCTCGGACTGTACGTACTGCCACAACCTAGTGCTATAACTCCGTCAAAGTTATACAGGCTGATCATACCCGAGGGTACCGTGTATAAGATAAGTATATAGTGGTACTAATTGCTCCATTTTATGGATATGAATATATATAATTTAAAAACTATAATTCAATTGTTTTACTAGTGTTTCAAGGTATAGTGTAGAATATAAGATAAATATAAAAAGTTGATTAAGTAAATATACATAAATTAAAAGTTGCTATGTATTTTTTATTTATCTATATACCCCAATTCTGACACATTCATAGAACGTTATGAGGGACGTGACGTCATAGCGACGCCATGACATAAGTTAGCATTTACGCGGGAAATTTTAATAATCAAATTAATTTTTAGATTTTAAATTATTATATGAATGATACTTTTTATATATATATTTTATGTACATCTATAAAATGAAAATATATTTAAAATGTTGTCTGCAGCCCTATTCTGTTAAATGACGTTATTATCCAGTAAATAAATAAATATTAATAAATATGAAATAAATATTTAGTAGACTATAGATTACTGGCTATTTTTCTGCGATTTCTCCCTCTTAAATTATAACCTATGTCACCTGCCCACGACATAATTTTCATGATCGGATCAGTATTTCCGATAATAATTAGCCCCTACCAATCCCTTACAAAACAAATAACTATTTTATTATAAGTATAGATGGTATAAAGGAGTAGATTCGTATTTCTATTATTATAGAGACTTCTGAATGTTATTCACAGAAAATCAATTTTTAGTCAATATTATCAGCTTCTTTTTTTAGTAGAAATAATGAACAAGTTTGGTCACTGTTGTAACATAAAAATTTAATATCTATAAACGAATTCGAATTGTAATGTGTAACTACGTATCTCTTTTTTATTATATTACTCTTTATCATTACTAAATCTAAAAGAAAATTTTAATGCTTTTGTATATGATTTAATAACTCAAACGTGTATTTTTATAATTCAAAGGTTAGTCACACTGCGGTTGGTTATTGCAGTGCTACAGCGCTGAAGTCTAAAAATGCTGGATTGTTCAAACAAATTCCGGAATCTCATAGGAATATGGTCCGACACGTTTGTGACAATTCAATCCCATTATACATATATACGAGTACCTAGGTGGCGTAGTGGATAAGCGCCGCGGCCCGCGATCGTAGTCGTTAAGCAACTTTCGCAAGGGTCGGTCACGGGATGGGTGACCAAAAAGTTATTATCTCGAGCTACTCCGTGCTTCGGAAGGCACGTTAAGCCGTTGGTCCCCGCTGCATTTGCAGTCGTTAATACCCTCCAATCCGCATTGGGCTAGCGTGGAGGGTCATGGCCCATCCTCCTTAACCATCCATAAGGAAGGCCTGAGCCCCTGCAGTGGGGACGTAAAAACGGCTGGTGATGATACATATATCTCTCGGCAGACTCGTGGCGTAATAAAATACATTGCACGACTAGTTGTGTCAAGTAAAGTAAAGCAAAATCATGAATTGAAATGACTGTGCTCAAAGAAACTCCAAGCAATTCGTCTATACTAACATTATAAAAATTATACTAAAATTTTATATGAAAGAACTCTAGCTTAAGCTGACAATAGGTGGGCGTCAGCAATAGCAGAACTTGTATAGAGTTTTTACATTGCATAAAACTTCAACAACAAAGAGGAAACATTTGATAGTTTGTTTGTTTGCAACGAAATAAGGCACCGAAACTAGGGAAAGAAATAAAAATGGGTGTGGAAATTTGTATAATGAATCAAAAATTTGCCATACTAACCATTGTTTACTATACAATATGTTATTATAACTATATCCTTGGCATGATATCAATCGATATCCAAATAAACAGTTCCCTAAGGAGCTCGCGGGCGAAACCTCTAGCGGAAAGCTAGTAATTTATAATATGGAAACTTTAGTAATGTAGACGATGCTGTATAACTGATGATGATGGTGCAAAACAAAGGCGGATTTCTTCTATAGACGATTTATTGTATTTTCTTCTTACTGACTACTTATTACTGCTTGACTACACTGCTTGACTGACTTGACTTGACTACGAATATTTACAAATTTGGCCCTACCCTTATCCTAAACTTACTATCTAACTTAGATACTAGTGACGCGCGGCGGCCGACCAATCACAGCGCGTTTTACGCCCGCGCGCCGGGTGGGGGAATCGCCCCCACCGTGCGGACGGCGCCTACTCAGCCAATGGGCTCCCCGATAATTCAGCTAATGTAGGCGCTGTGATTGGTCGTTCGACTCGTTCATTTTTCGGCACGTGGCTGTCGTCAACAAGTAAGTTGAGCCGAACCTCAAAAATGAAATATGAAACCATTAAGGTTTTATTTAAAAAGTCATTACACGGCAATCTCGTACTAACCGACCAACGAGGTTGTTGAAATTATGACGCAATTTAAATTTCCCCGTCGTTATAAGTGAGAATCGTTTGTATACTATTAACGGAATAAAATAAATAAAAATATTGTCGATTTAATAAACACGGAACATCAAAAGGAATCCCAGTTGATCCGCAACATTGGACTGAACCAACGGGCTGGAACAATCGGCAATGTACCGATCTACCGATACCTAACCAGGATACCAAGACAGCCCCGAGCTGTCCTTGGAGGATCTCGAATTCTTCCAAACCCGCTCCTCTCCCTATGAGGTTATAACAAAATAGCAAGACATCGGGGAAGATATTAACTGTTTTTTATTATGATTCCTTAGTTAAGATTCATATATAAGGTTTCCGTATATATATATAAGGCTTTAAATTAAATACTTTCATCATAACCAAGTCTATTAATCAAATAAGGAGACTGGGTCATGACCAACCACTGTAGATGCAGCCGGGGCCAACGGCTTAACATGCATCCAATGCATGAAAGAGCTCGAGATAATAATTTTTTGGTCACCCATCCCATTACCGACCATAGCGAAAGTTGCTTGATAAAGGTATCACAGACCGAGCGCGCTAACCACAGTGTCATCGAGCTCCTTTTGCTTGCTTCAAACAGTCTTTAAAATACTTTATTTTTTTTTACCTACTAGCGAAATCGGTACAAGACAGACGAACTGAAAAAGTTAAAGTGTAAAAGTTCCCAGAGACAAAAAATCCGGATTTCCTACACAATACAATGTTCCATTTTATTAATAACATAGTTCATATACCTTTCAAGGATTGTTCAAGAATAGCTTTCCAAAAGTTGTACGAGTATTTATTGTATGAACGTGACCAATTTATATATAGGTAAAAGTAACTATGTTGTTTACAAACAAATTCAGAGTCCTCCAGTGCCGTTGCATTTGTTTGCGGAGCCGATATGAAATTCTGTACTGGAATTTTCAATTTGCCGTACAAACACAACTTTCGCCTTTGATACGAATGAAATTTGATTTTGACTTTTTTACATCTTTAATTTAAATTCGAGGTTAAAAATAAAACTTTAGTTCTAAGGGGTATTCACGAAAGCAGAAAAAACAAAGCGATTATGTTACATAGTTAAAGTAACATATCTAATGATTTTTCTGTTATATTTAACAGGTTATTATCGCCTTGTCTTGGTAATTACCCTTAAAGAAATGATGGTAATTCAACATTTCCTAAGCACCGTACATGCGTAATTTTAGGTATGTATGTTGTTTATAAAACGTTAAAATAACTACAGAGGTACTATAAATACTTATACTCATTAATCAGTCAAATTTACAAAATCAATTTTAAAGTCTACTAGCAACGTATTAAAGTTTTATATTAAGTGGACCAAAGCAGTATCGTCTAACCTGCCGAGCTGTTGTACGTAGATTCGGTCCAATAAAGTCAGTGAGATCTCCTTGGTCCCAGACCGATCGTAAAATATCCACGGCGTTTCGCTCACTCGGCTTTTGTATTACTCCCCTTCTTTATATTCAGAATATTAACATATCCAATGTTGTATCTACGAATGTGCTGTATCATCAATTCCAGGTGGAATGGATCTATTTTATTGTTCATTTTCTACATTAACTCAACCGGAAATCGAGCCTTTTTTTAACCGAAAGGAACTGACCCTAACTAACCCTTCGACTAACTAGTCGAGTGGTCGACTACACCGGGGCGCCCTGACTGCAAGGGACGGAGGTCCAATTCAGTTAATCTATACGACAAAACCCTTTATATTTAAGTTCTCGCGTGGTCCGGACCATGTCAACTA